AAAACAATGTCACTCCCTAGTTTTGTTGAATGTTTATGTAACGTCACTGATGTTTCATTGGGAACACTCACTTGTAATCCATGTAGTAACACTTCAGCTGTGCCATGTAGCGCTCGAATGATGGAATGTCTCTTTTAGCAATTGCCCATTGTGCACCAATTTCAAGAATATCACCTGAAATATGATGAACACCAGTTTCATAATGGGCAAGTAAACTCAACATAGCAGTAGCAGCTTTGCAGATCTGAATACTTTAGGTCATAGTATTCACGAATGGTTAACTGTACATAAGATATACTGCACATGATTCAGACAAAAATGCATTGCACATGGTACTTGGTAAACAAACAACAATATTTTCAGTGGGTGGGTTAGGCTGCTGAATAGGGTTGTATTACTAGCAGTAACTACCACATTGTCATTCAATGTTACAATATGTGTCGGAGAAGAAAATATTTGGTTGCAATGTCGCTCATAACCCCTGAAATAATATCTTACGGCATAACCCTAGATAGAAGTATTACAAAACATTTATGTTAGGGTGAGGCTGCCTGTGTCCAGATAATATCTAAAGCAGGGCTTAGATGTGAAAATATTTCCTTTTTTTCAGGCAAGCCTAAAAACTCAAGACACTTTAATAAGCATAGGAATAACATAGTAATAATTCAGCTGTAATTCATCTCATCTGAAAACAAATCTGAATTGTGATTGCAGAACTGTTTGTTTCTTTGTTGGTTGCTTAACACCACACTCAGCAATATTCCAGCTATATGGAGTGGTCTGTAAATAATTGTGAATCAACTGGTTCCTTATACAATAAAACTAAAAGTACTAGTGTTGTCCCCTGACATCTTCCTCCACTTAGTTTCTTTTGAGGTTTCATTTATACATGACAGAGTGGAAGGTTATTAACTTACGAGCAATAAGCAGTTCTTGCTTTGATGGATTTGATTCATCTGTAGGCAAAAACGTCACACTCGTGAGAGCAATCTGAAAATTAACAATGTCAATATTTGCTCAGTTATATCCAAGTACAGATCAAACACAAGAATCAGAACAATATTTATTGAAACAATTTGAGGATCAAAATGACACACACTCATTTATATGTATATTTTTTTAGAGTTAACTGATTTGTCTTCCATAAACATATATTAAGCAGTCGCATGTTTTAGGTCAAGTACATATCTGGGGTATTGTTTATCTTCAATGAAGTAAATGAAAATTTGGAAAAAGTGTTACTTTTCATTAAGATGAACAACTGGAAAATTAGTTGCAGTCACAAGCTGTATCAGGATATAGGCATGGCAAAGGGTGTTGTAAGTGGTCTTCAATAGATAACCTATTACTTCCTCAAGGGAGGTGTTGTCCATGTGGTCGTACATTGCTATACTCTGGTTTTGATGTATAATATAGGTTATATTGTTGTTTAACGCCATGCTCATCAATTTTCCAGCCATATGACAGAGATATGTAAATAATCTAGACAAGATAATCTAGTGATTTACATCATGAACATCCACCTATGCAACAGGGATACGATAACACGCATCGACCAAGTTAGTGAGTCTGATCACCTCATCCCGATAGGAAGGAGGGCATAAACATGGCATAATAAAAGCGCAGCTTTACAGCTATCACTGCGAACACATTTGTTCTTAACATCAAAATCTGAGAATAATACTGGAAAATGTTTTCACGGTAAAACTTGTGCTGGCACGCTTGATCTAGATCTATTGTAGTCCAGCATATAACTAGACGACTTTGCACTATACCAAGGTGTGCTCTATGTAGGCCTTGGCTGGAATACGAGTTTATTCATATGAACTAGATCTATTGGTATAAATGCCATCAATTTATCATGATGAATAACACAGATTAATCATATCATTGGTCATTTGGTGACAAACCAGCATCATAGAGCTAGTGTTAATCTCTTCTCAGATTGCTGGAGGGGGATAATAATTGAAAAAAAATACCGTCTTTGAAGAATCAAGACAACATTTGTTAATACTGAGAAGTTATCAAAATGGAAATGACAAAGCAAATCTGTGGTTGACTTGGGCTTGTTTGGGGACTGACATAGAGACAATAATACAGCAAATACTAAATATTGATGGGAAATTCGAAAGATTATACCTTCAGCTTTGCTAAAAACTCGCCACATCTTTCAAGATTTGGTGGTTTGCGATCAAATTCACGCTTCAAATTCTGATACATTCCAACGATTTCCTTCAAGGAAGACATGTTTGTCGTGTTTGCAGGAACGAGCTTCAGTTTGGAAATGATTCTGATTGGATGAAAATAGAAATCACCTTTCCCGGACAACTAGTTTTCAGTATGTTTATCGTCTGCTAGATACTACAACACACAATTAACTTAAAATGTATCGATTTTACCTTCTAATTAAATACCACACAGTTTATGTGTAACTAAGGGATTACATAAAAATTAGTGATACGTTGCAATGTGTATTTGTCGCATATACATGTATATGCTTTGTTTACTGTTTGTGGTCAGCCATTGTCATTTTTAACTGATAGAAAACAATCGGGCACACACAAGAACAATATGCAACGCTTTTCACACAAAGGCGCATCATACACACAAACACGATACCATACACACCCTAGTATGAACTGTACGAACACGTGGTGTCTCAAAACTACCTCTGGTCACCAGCAGGATTGCTTCAGCATATTGTTTTACAAACACCCATTTACTGGAGTCTCATCCAGAGTCAAGTATAATTGCTGAACGAACATTATTCATGCTGAACGAACATTATTCATGGATATTAAGTATTTACATGACTGTTACTTGTTGTTCTGCAAGTAAACTATTCAACAACATTTACTGAAAGTCCGGGTTCAAAAGTCGAGTGTACACTAGGAACTAGATTGAAACCGCCTCGTGAAGATCCGGTTCAGAATTGGTCCGCAGCAACCTTTGCTTGTCCTACAAGTCGCCTAACGGGATCGTGTTATCAGGTTGTCATATCGGTGTATCCTCCTTGCGTAGACCGATGTTCATGACGTCAGTCACCGGAGTGTCTGGTCTTCATAATACTGACGACCCGTGAAGATCCAGGTTAGAATAGGTCTTCAGCAACCCATGCTTGCCACAAAAGGCGATTATGCTTGTCGTAAGAGGCGACTAACGGGATCGGTGGTCAGGCTCGCTGACTTGGTTGACACATGTCATCGGTTCCCGATTGCGTAGATCGATGCTCTTGCTGTTGATCACTGGATTGTCTGGTCCAGACTCGACTATTTACAGACCGCCGCCATATAGCTGGCATATTGCTGAGTGTGGCGTAAAACTAAACTAAACTCACTCACTCACTCACACATAATACTGACACTCGAATGCCGTCACATAACAGCCAGGATACGGTTGTATCATTGCTTCATTAACTAATGTCAACATTAAACCCTAATGATACATTAGTTAATGAACATTTAATGGCACGTTAATGCTTCATTAAAGTTTGATACAACCGGGTCCAGGACATTGCTCCTTCTGTGTTTTCAGGTGGATTACAAATGTTGACACTTTTGAGTAGATTTACACTAGAATTTAGACAAGAGGTAAAAACTGATACTTTTGTACAAATCCCCCCATTTCTGTAATATTTTGAGTGAGTGAGTGAGTTAGTGAGTGTTTAATGCAACATTCAACAATATTCCAGATTTTTAACAATTAAACAATTGCTTCTAGTCCAGGCAAACTGTTGCACGATTGATAACATTCCCCTCAAGACATGAACAGCGACACAGCCACCATCCATATTGACAAAATGAATTACTTGGAAGAACCTCTAGTCATCATACCAGCCGCTAGAAAGTGAATTAAAATTTTATCCAACCAACATCTAGATTACCTCAGCTCTGTGGATTTAGCATTGTTCTCGGATTCAATTTGAATTTGACCTTTTAGTTTTGATACAATAACACCATTAGACTGAATGTTTGTCCAGCATTTCCTTCCCCCCGGAAACATCATGGCGGATGAGCAAAAGACCTGAAACGTTCACACGACACAATAAATAAAGCTATCGAAACTAATATTGAATTACATGTACACATTCTTTCTACAGTTTCAAGTTACCATTTTAGTATGAAATTACTTTCTGCAAATTTTCCTTTTGGATGCTTTAACGCGAGCCTCTTCTCTGGTCTGGTGGCCACAACACAAAGAGACCTTAGTAGTTATCTTATACAATGTAGTTTAACATCGCCTAACAGTTTAATCAGATTTATGGGTTCGTTCCCAAGATGTTCTGTAGCTAGTTAGTACCATGTCTGAAACCTTGGCATTGTCTTTGAAACTATTTTCTGTTAAATTATTGGACACCATGTCTTGGAGATAGCTGTTAAATAACAAGAGGACTTTCCGGTTTGAATGATCTTGTTATCACTCAGAGCCTGGAGTGAGTGAGTGAGTATGATTTTACGCCGCTTTTAGCAATATTACAGCAATATCACGGCGGGGAACACCAGAAATGGGCTTCACATATTGTACCCATGTGGGGATTCGAACCCGGGTCTTCGGCGTGACGAGCCAACGCTTTAACCACTAGGCTACCCCACCGCCCCACTGGAGTCCTTTACGAGAGAATTATGACCGTTGTAGCATGTAACGGCGTTATATTTGCACAAGTAACATAGCACTTAATGTCTATCCGACATATATTTGTCTTCACTGTATGTGCATAATATCTGGCAACATGTGAATTTTCAGACTATATCCTTCCTGCATACTGTATGTGTTCTCCAGAAAGACAGGCTGGAAATGTTGTGACAGTGGAATCTAGTTTGTCGGGTGAATACTATAAAATCACGTGAAATGCACCGCAAACAGTATAATAGGGTTTTGATAGTTTCAATTTAGCCACGGGGAATACTCTCATTTTCCTTTTCACTCAAACCTATTTTGTTTATTGCTGTCACTAGATCACCACCGGCAGGTATCTTAGAGTAACATAAGTTTTATGGAAACAAGTACTCTGCATTTCGTAAACTCAAGCACATGCGGAGTATAAGTCGGCATTTGTGTATGATAATTTGACGGATAACAACTGTTTTGTGATGGAGAACGACATTCTAGATTCTCTTGAAGATCTAGGGTACTTCTTTCAATTCACTGTCAATATTATCTGATAACGTCTCATTGTATTTTAAGTCAGATAAGCCTAGCTCCACGGTGAAGTGCCGCAAGACTGATTGTCAAACGCATTGCAATACGTCACTAGCGTTTACAGCAGACTTGCTTTGTCAGCATAACCAAAATATTCATTCACTAACATTTTCCTAATTCTACATAAACTATTTGTTTTCCTTTGATAGTTATATGTGTGCAGTATTGTCAAAATATCTAAACAAAGGTAAAGTTTAGGATGTAGTTGTTTAAGAAAATTACTGTACATGTAGCTTAGAATGGTAACATGGTTTTGACAAAAAAGATGCACCAGTTTCATTATTCATGCAGTTTCATAAGTGATTGTTAATGGTGGACATAAATTCATATGCAGTCTGTTTTCAATTAATTAATTGTATTATCCGTAAAGCTTACATTACCATGTCATGAACATGTAAAAGAGGTGAAACTGCTTGATAGATCGGCTACGCATTCAAGGATCCAATGTTGTTGCTATTGCAGGGATTGAGGGTGTGAATTTTCAAGGATCAACCCCCAACCTTATTTAAACATGTTCCAATGTAGGTACTCTGTTGGTTCATATGAATAAACTTGTATTCCAGCCAAGGCCCATAGAGCAACCTTGGTATAGTGCAAAGTTCCTAGTTAATGCTAGGTACTCTGTATGTTGTAGGGTAGGGGTGTGCAGAGAAACAAATGATATCCTAACTATAACAAGAATTGTTTTGTGTTAATAATGTCGATATGACACAGGCGCTATGGGATACGCCCCTTATACTACTTAGGAACCTAAAGTATGATGTATCCATCGATAAAACTGTATAAGCTATTTATCATCATTCATATTGATTAAAAAGACTGAGTGATTAGTTGGTTGGTGTATTATTTAATGCAATAGTCCAGTTTCCTGGTGGCGGTCTGTAAATAATTGAGTCTGGACCAGACAATCCAGTGATCAACAACATGAGCAATGATCTACGTAATAGGGATACAATGACATGTATCAACCAAGTCAGCGATCCTGACCTCCCAATCCTGTTATTTGCCTCTTACGACAAGCATAGGTTACTGAAGACCTATTCTAACCCAGATCTTCACGGGTCAAGTGATAGTATTTGAGATATAAAATATCAATACAAAAGATTGAAAATAGAAGTACTGTGAACACGTTAAGGAGTATGAAACAAGTAGATGTATTTTCTGAATTATATATTATGATTAACTTAAACACTTTCACCTGACACATGTGGAAAATGAAACTGCAATTTTTGTCCAAATCAGCATTGTTCCTGTTTGACATTAATTTTCCTCCACACAGTTTCTCCGGGACTCTTCTGGATGAGGCTGTACTTTCGTCATCAGTTGATCCCAGCAACAAGTCCTTGGAATACACTCAGCTTGTTGAGTGGCTCACCAGACAACTTAAACAGTTCTGTGGCTTAGAGGAGCATGTCAATGCCATCACAAGTTAGTTCTGTCAAACTGTTGGAGAAACATTAGTCTCTCTCAAAGTCCCAGAACCAAATCATTTCCCTTCTGCCCAGCAAGTCTAGATGAAACAAGTGTAGATTTTCCTTAGGTTTAGGATTTGAATCTCTTATCTCACTAGGGCTTCTTTGAAATTTAAACTGAATTCTTTTTGTTCTGATTTCAGAGACTGAGCATTGTCACTTATGCGTAAGGAAATACAGGGATAATGTCATGTTTGAAAATGGATGGGAAATATATTTCCTTGGTCCTCTTTATAGTAACATTGGAGAGTAGACCCTAACTAATTTCTTTGAATTGCACATACAAGAAGTGCGAGTATGGTTTGCCCTAGCCATATTCGAACAATATCACATAAGGGGATATGAGAAAAAAGGCTGCACTGATTGTACCCATGGTAACAAACCAGTGGCTTCACCATCACAAGTGACTAAGTCTAACATACAGTTCACATACACTGACTTCAGTGAGCAATAGAATTAGTGCATTAGATAGCTCATAGTTCCTTTGGCGTAATCCATAGAGTACTGTATATGATCTATGCATATGACTGGTGTATACAGGATCAGTTAACCAATAATTCATTGGGACAAATTGTTACTGTAACTGAGTTGAAACAGCCTGAAAGTCTGGTAATTGTAATCACCCTGTTGTCAAAAGTGTGTAGAGGGTACCCAGATCGAGACTTTTGCAATAATACTTCATGACCTCAATACTCTGTATGCAAATCTCAGGAAACATTTGTCAAGTCCTTGTGTATCACACTTACATAAGAATACTGGTGGACATGATGGCCAATGTCTGTTATCTTCCAAATTCTATTGAAGTTGAAATCACTTTTGATTTAAATGTCAAATCTTTTATGACTATATCCGTCAATAGATATTGCTTATCTTGTAATTAAAACACTGATTTCCAAAAATATGTCCATCACAACAAAATGTTCAAGCTGTGCAAGTGACGCAATGACATTGTGCCCTTTTGTATAAATACATGATACATCATGCCTCTATTAATCACTTATTGGTGACTTATTTGAAAAGTCAAGTAACAAAAACAAACATTTTGCAGATACCGGTGACTGGTGTAACTTTGAACTTGAGTTAAGTGGCTTCCTCCGAGAATATGGTATGTCATATAATACTTTTTATTTCTCCTGGTTGAAATCGTTTTTCTTAATTCAGACAGTAATTGGATTATACAATGAGCAATGTGCAAATATCTTTTCTGTAAGTGAAACTGTGCTTGATTGTTGGTCTGTATGTGTAGACTGCTTCCGCAATCATAATAGAAAAAATACTGTAGCGAGAAATAAGTGAAATCTTAATGTAATTGCACATTGTTGGTATGTTTCGCATGATGAATATCTTCAATATTTGCTGTACATTGTCCTTTATTCATAAGTTACATGATTCCATTGCAGGCTGTCCGTATCCTTCACTCAGTGATGGCCCTATCAATCAACGGCTTACCACCAGAATGAACAAGCTACAACTCCTGGGTAGATCTCTTGACATTCCTTAACCTTTCTTGTCTTTTTCTTATATCACCTTCCAAAGTTTCATTCCAGTGTCACTTTCTCATGTCACCATGTTCATTATTAAAGGTCACCTTTTAAATCTTCCATTTCCATGTTTCCTTCCCATGTCACCAAGTGCACCTTCCAACTTAAATCCAAGGTCCTGTTCAAATAGACAGCAGACATAATAAGGTCATTCCAGGGAAGTATTGGTCCCAAGAACCTTGTGTATACCCATACACAATTACATGACTGAAAAAGTGACTCCGTGGTCTTGGTGTGTGACCTGGCTGATTGTACCTTGTTGTACTTCAACAGTGTGGATTCTGTTCAGTCTGGCTGCATGTCTGACTCTGGATGTACAGACTGCAGTGATACAGCTGTTGCTGACTCTAGTATAAGACAACATCCAGTCAAAGCAGCGCCAGTAGTACACCCCTGTATTGGTGCAGTGTTACACGTTTGTGTTGGTCATGTAGCAATGTAAACAGATGCATGGTATACAAGGACAAGCTAGCAGGTATGAAAGGAATATGGAGTACAAGGGTTATCAAGTTATTGGTGTAATTAACCAATGTTTCTTGATGTGTTAAGGTGTTTGTCCTTGATGTGATGATTCATAAATGTTTAATGTTTCACTTGCTTTGTCTCCACCATAGGCGTACCCAGAGGGGATGGGGTGCAGGAGTGCGTACCCTCTCTTTTTGTTCTGAAGTTTATTAAATGACCATTGTAACTCTCGTGAGATGAAGTGTGCACCCCCCACCACCCCCTTCTCTAGAGTGTGCAAAACCAAAACATGAACGCATTCACTTTCACAAAAAGCTGTATCCGCCCCTGGTCTCCACTATTTCTGAAACCTTTTAAAACACTCTCTTGGTCTCCCCATTATAACCTAAGGCCTGATAAGTGATGACAAAAGGTTACACCTTAAATTGCACACCGAAATTGCTTGGGGATAGTGATAATACTACACAAACTCACCTCTCTGGACCAGGGGCCCGTTTCACAAAGCCCTCTTACCGGTACGACCTCGTAAAGCAGGTCGTAGACAACCTCTTTCTTTTTTACCCCGTTTCACAAAGAATTCGTATATTTACACTGTGCCGTAAACAGCCCAAAATTTAGGACCCCGATTGACCTGTTGTAAATGCTTTAGGAGGTCGCAAACACTACAACGATTATGGCACTGCAAGTGATTAAAACGAGCTAACAAAGAAGACCTGAGAAATTTTGAGACAGGTCGAACGTGCTCGACACTCTGGATGATGTTGGCATGATGTCGAGATATAGATTTCCTTACGCGTTTTGTGGGGGGGTATTAAAATGGAGTCCGTCCTGCGTGCATCCGTCCTTCCGTGCACATTGGTCTTTTCCGGAGCAGAACTCTAAAACCGTTCACTATTTCTTCACCAAACTTGACACATAGATAGATCTGGTGGTGTGCTGGTGCCTTTTGGTAGTTTTGGAATTCTGAATAAAATATTTTTAGCGTTTCCGTGGCAACAAGTTTGACTTAGCCTGAAATTGGTGGTTGGGCTCTCTTCCGGAGCAGAACTCTAAAACCGTTCACTATTTCTTCACCAAACTTGGCACATAGATAGATCTGGTGGTGTACTGGTGCCTTTTGGTAGTTTTGGAATTCTGAATAAAATATTTTTGGCGTTTCCATGGCAACAAGTTCGACTTTGACTGAAATTGGTGATAGTGCTCTTTTCTGGAGCAGAACTTTAAAAACCTTTCAATACTCTCCTTCCACTTTTCTATATACACACCTAAATATTTGACATAATCATAACTCGTAGACATAATCATGAAGAGTATTTTGACATTGCGGGGGCTATTGATGACTTTGTCTTCTTGTTATTCTTTGAAAGTGTTTGGGGCGGTGGGGTAGCCTCGTGGTTAAAGCATTTTGGCTCGTCACGCCGAAGACCCGGGTTCGAATCCCCACATGGGTACAATGTGTGAAGCCCATTTCTGGTGTCCCCCGCCGTGATGTAGCTGGAATATTGCTAAAAGCGGCGTAAAACCAAACTCAGTCAGTCAGTCAGTTGAAAGTGTTTAATTGTTTGAATAATAGTTACAAAAGAAATTGGCACATTTAGAGTATCACACCATAGTTTAAACCTTTAAACAAGGGTTAGTAGATCAAGTGTAGCCATAACTGCAACATGTACTTTAGTTCCTATAGTGTGCAATATTCAATACATTGGGACTAATATTGCAGTTTCATATAAACAAAATGATTGACAGCGAGTTAATTCAAACCTTATAAGTAAAACTGATAATATTAATGGAAATGATTTATACATTTTATCTTGTAATTTTCAATGGAATTTAGTTAGAGAATCCAAAATAATTCATTTATTGATATTTTTGTTACAATAAGATAACCTGTACATTCAATTAAAAACATAACATTTGCGTTGTTATGTGCATTATTTCTATTTTGAAATACTTTGGGAATAACAAGATAAGCAGTTGCCCGTTCGGTCTCACTTTATGCTTTGCTATGCAACGAAGTACCTCTTATACAATGTACGACATGGATTTAGGACAGCGCGTCGTACGACATGGATACGACGTCTTTGTAAAACGGTCGTAAAGAAGGTCGGATGAGGGTCGTAAACAAGGTCCTATGGGCTACGACCTCCTACATTTAGGAGGCTTTGTGAAACGCGGGCCTGGACTGGTGGACTCATGCGAGTTTACTTATTCAACTTTTCTGACATAAGGACCAACATTGTGGTGTAAGTGTGTCATGCTAAGCTGAAACTGACCGTGTACATATCCTATTGCAGATTATCTGTGCACAGAGCTGGCCAGTGTACGGATATTAGCAGCAGGAAAACCTGGCTTGTTGAAAACAACATCTACTACCCCCGATGGCGTGTCTACTCAGGTACTAGATATGTGGATGAGTTATCCCCTATGGGGTTACATTATAAGTTGTATGGGTCTCTCGAGGGTAATACGGTGTGATGTACGCCTCTTTGTAGCAGTGTCACCCGAGCCGATAGGCGGTTACCATGGCAGCTGGTAATATTTTTTCCAGTTGTCACCCTCCTGGAAAGGTGACACGGAAACTTGTCAAACCGTCATTGACCAATGAAATTAAAGTATTTTACATGAAAGTAAGATAAACTCAGTTATTCAGTATATTCCATCATAAAGCAATTTGTCTTTGCCAGTTGCCATGGATATGTGTCTTGTGTTAGCTTGTTCCAAGTTAGTTAGTTGGTCAGCATTCCAGAAGTTGTTTGTCAATAATGAACAGTACGATTTTATGGGTAATAGCGTCTTGTTTTCTTGCGTAGGGCGATGTTTTGGTGGCGATTCTTACACCATTATCAAGCAACTTTTTACAAGAAGTTGTCCACAAAGTCATATGCTTCATTATGTTTCAAGATACTCTTCATACTGATTCTTGTTCATGGATTTGCGACCCATGAAGATCCGGGTTAGAATTGGCCTTCAGTAACCCATGCTTGTCGTACGAGGCGGCTAACGGGATCGGGTGGTCAGGCTTGCTGGCTTGGTTGACATATGTCATCGGTTCCCAATTACGCATATCAATGCTCCTGTTGTTGATCACTGGATTATCTGGTCCAGACTTGATTAATTACAGACCGCCGCCATATAGCTGGAATATTGCTGAGTGCGGTGTAAAACTAAACTCACTCACTCACTCATGGATTTGCTCTGATTATTATTCATTTCGTCAGCACCGTACCCATATCTGGTTTTGCAAAAGTTGTTAATGTATAAGACCAAAATCACTTCAGTTTTGACTCATTGTGTTTATCAGAAATACTGTTGAAAGTGTCAGTACCCACACTCACTTGTGGTTTGAGTCACTCCCTGCAATAGCTAGGTAATGGTTGCTGTTGTCCATGCGTTATGCAGAGGCTATGGTTGCTGTTGTACATGCATTACATTGAGACTGTTGTTGGTGTTGTTCATGTATTATGATGAGACTGTTGTTGCTGCTGCAGGCTGAGAGTGAAACGGCCACCTACTTGAGACAGATGCTGATGGCTCTGGGGTTCCCCAAACCACCCACAAACATCACACCGTTTCAGCTGTTCAGTAAGGTGGAGGCCAAGGTGAGGAAATATAGGTTATCACGCGAGTGTGTTTTGGGATGGTTAATATCCTGCATTAGGAATAATCATTGTATTTAGCAAACCTTGGCGTGGAACTTCAGAAACCTTCAATTAACCTTTTGAACAACAAAATACGCTTTAATGTTCGCGTGACATTATGCACCAGGATTCCTATGCCGTTATCCCGCTAACACTGACAGTCGATCGGGGAACTGATGTTGGTATCTTCATAAGCCTGGGAATTTCTATCTTCGCTTTGTAATCTACTCAATCTATCATAACTAGGCATGAATTTTCTGGGATCAAAGCACTGACAGTATCGTAACCACGGCCGTCAATCCGGACACGACCGCCTACCCTTGACGCCATGTTTGTTTACACTGTGAAAGTAGTCCCTGAAATTTGCATATGACCTCTCTAATTTGCATCGATATCCGTATATGACCCCAACGGATACCGAAAATATCCGTTGACTTTATCCTGCCGAGAACACTATCCATTGTATGATAATATTTTTGATCTCTGTAAATCATTAACTCTAACAGAAGTCAAAATGTTATATGATGGTCACATCTTTATACTGACTTGACGAAGATGTCCTGCATGTTTAACTTATATGAACAGATTAAAGAGTTGGTGGCCAAGCATCCAAGTCGGCTGGGCAAGCCGTTGTTGAAGGCGCGGCTGTCTGACAAGCAGTGGGAGCATGTTCTGAAGGTCAACATGGCGCTGTGTGAGGAGTACAAGCTAAGAAGGGACATGCTGATTAAACGACTTGACGTTACCATCCAGTCCTTCAAGTGGTCCGACAAAGCAAGGGTATACTTTCATTTTTTTGTTGATATATGTTCTTAGATTTATGCTTATTGAGGGAATTTCAGGTTAGAATTGGTCCATAGCAACTTGGTCATAAGAGGTGACAGAATGGACTGGGTGGTCAGGCTGGTGACTTGAGATTGATTACATGTTGTTATGCCCTGAAGGTATGGATTGTTGATCAATATGATCGTGGAATTGTCGATTGATTATTTACAGACTGATAGCACATAAATAACTAGGAAAGTTCTAAGGAAATACAACCTCTTTATTATTGTGCTGTCCCATAGCTGTAATATTGCTGAGTGTGGTATGAAATAGCAAATAAATTAACACACGCAGTAAGATGCTTCACTTTGACTCCAAGATTGAAGAGGCTGATCATATCCCCTATTTATTGAAGGAGGCAACTTTTGAGTATCCGATGGTTATTATGTGGAACCGGCTGATTGATTCATCCCTTTTATGGACATGTATCATGTTTATGTTGCAGCACAACGAGGACAAGATAGCCAGAGTATATCAGCCCATTAGAAAACAACTTTCATCTAAAACGAATGTCGGAGTGCCCCAGATCCTGGCAGCAAGAGATGGTATGCAATGGTGTAATGAGAGTATTGTTTAAACCAGTGTTTAACCAAACTCACTCACTCACTCAGTCACTCCACTGCAAACTTGCATCAGTGATTAGTTAAAGAACTGTGTGCATGTAGTTTTTCTACAGATAGATGTAAGTTTAGTTGCTGCATCCTAATCCATGTCTGGCAGCATGAATGAAATATTGGATAAATCAATTAATTTTGCCAAGAGAAGTGGACCTGAAATATGAGCATTTGTGATCTTGACACATCCTTCCCTGGATGTATCGGATGTTTCTCCACTTCAGATTTAACAAGGATTCAGAAGACAAGCAGTGGGGAAGCCAGGGAAAAGACCAAATGTGCAATAAATAGAGTCATGATAGGACAGGTGAGTACTGGACACTGTTTGTCTATGTGTGTGTATTCGTGTGCATGTGTTTGTGTGTTCGTGCATGTGTTCGTGTGTGTATTCATGCTTGCATGCAAGTGTTCGTGTGCGTGTGAGTGTTTGTGTGTATTTGTGTGTGTGTGTATTCATGCTTGCATGCAAGTGTTTGTGTGTGTGTTCGTGTGTGTATTTGTGTGTGTATTCATGCTTGCATGCAAGTGTTCGTGCGAGTGTTTGTGTGTATTTGTGTGTGTATTCATGCTTGCATGCAAGTGTTTGTGTGTGTATTTGTGTGTGTATTCATGCTTGCATGCAAGTGTTAAATCTTGCGTGCGAGTGTTTGTGTGTGTAGTGTTTGTGTGTGTGTGTGTATTCATGCTTGCATGCAAGTGTTTTGTGTGTGTTCGTGTGTGTATTTGTGTGTGTATTCATGCTTGCATGCGAGTGTTCGTCTGTGTGTGTGCACGTGCATGCTTGTGTTCGTGTTTTTGGATGTGCTGTTGTGTGTGTGTTAAAAATAACAACTTTCAGGATTTGTATTACATGTATATGTATACAGGTAAACTTAAGATGTGTCCCGACCAAATTTACAGGCGTTATTAGCTAACAGTAAGATTTTCACTCACTCACTCGCCACTCACTTGCTCAGTAAATCCCTTTTGGAAGTTATAATAGTTCCCTAAGAACCAATGCTGGTTGTTGGAGATGACAAACTAGATTGGGTGGTTAGCCTCCGTGACTCTGCTCCAGATTATTAACAGAATGCAGTCACATTGCTGGGTACCACTAACTAATAATAAAACCTCATCACTTGGAATGATAATGAATCAAATCGAGGTGGTGGTGAATCTGTTAAAAAGCTTTTGTTAATTGTCCAGGTTCCAGATCGTGGAGGTCGTACCACAGAGCTAGCACCCCCTCCTCCAGAGATGCCAGCATTCATGCAGAGATCAGCGGCACCTCAAGGTAAGGCTGCTAGTGTGTGCCAGATCAATTGTCATAATTAACATAAAAACATGAACATTTATTTTTGTTACCAGCCTACAATCTGAGACATAATAAATCTTAAATGATGAGTATGTGAAGCAATGTAAAATACACCTGGGAAGAGTCTCAGCATTGCTCCATTATAATGTTACATCGCTGTTCACATCCATGTAACTGTTATTCACATCCATGGAACTGTTGTTCACATCCATGGAACTGTTGTTCACATCCATGGAACTGTTATTCACATCCATGTAACTGTTGTTCACATCCATGGAACTGTTGTTCACATCCATGTAACTGTTATTCACATCCATGTAACTGTTGGAAACATTTAAAAATATAATCTCATGAGCATGTCCAGATATTTATGTAGTGGTTATAGTTTCTGTTGATTATTTCAGGACGTGGCAGAGGAGGTGGTCACAGGGGAGGAAGAGGAGGAGGGGGTGGTGGGCGTGTCCAGGGTGGGTGGGGTGACTCCCACAATCAGAATCAAGGAGGAAACTGGGCCCAAGGTGGGGGAGGATATGGAGGGTCAAAGGGAGGGTATAGTCAGGGTGGAGGAGGAAACTACAGTCAGGGTGGAGGAGGAAACTACAGTCAGGGTGGAGGAGGAAACTACAGTCAGGGTGGGGGTGGTTACAACCAGGGTGGTTACAATCAAGGTGGGGGTGGGGGTTATCAAGGGGTGGGGGTTATCAAGGTGGAGGTGGAGGAGGGGTGGATATCAAGGTGGGGGTGGATACCAAGGGGTGGGGGTAGAGGAGGAGGAAGGGGTCGGGGCAGAGGGGGAGGGAGGGGTAGAGGTAGGGGTGGAGGAGGCTACAACTGAATATACATTTGTCACATATGATGCATAGTTCATGAATAATGCTGTCTTTGCAATACAATTACATAACTATTAGAAAGGGCATTACAGTCGTCTCCCCTTGGTTGTTATTAAGAACTTTGTTTTGTGTATGTCCAATATACAACAGGCATCTATTGTTCTGATCATTTTGGTTGTTACGAAGAATTAGTGAATTAGGTTGTTGAGTTTTCAGCTGTTGAATGCAACGTGCTGTTTTTGAGATATCACAGATTATTCTTGTCGGTGAGTGGACAATATCTAAGCATTAAGGTAGATGGTTCATTACGGATAAGTTTATAAACTTTCTCAACAGCAAGGAACACCTTGTGCCAAATAATAAAGTGAGGTAACACTTTATGTGTCATACCCAAGTAATTCAGAATAGAAGTAGTTGGTTTGTGCCTCATGATTGTTGTATAAACTTACTGCTAACTGCTCCATGTGTGAATTGTTCCACTTAATGTTTTTTTCTGTTTGTTGCTATGGTGCGACAGCAATTTTATAGCAAAATAAATCTATTTATATGAACCCTTATGTTTTTATTCGATTGTGACATCACTGGCATGGTCTGGCCAGGGCTACTTTGACAGGGCAGTGACTGTCTGTGCACCCTAAAGCATGGACTAATGGGCGGTGGGGTAGCCTGGTGGTTATATCGCTCCTCTCGCTGAAGACCGTGAAGCCCATTTTTGGTGTCCCCCGCCACGATATTGCTTGAATATTGCTAAAATCCACATAAGAACTAAACTCACTCACTAAGTTATTTATGCTCACTGTTTCAAGAGTGGGAGGAGGAGTAGCATAGTGGTTAAAAGGTTTTCTCATCACACTGAAGACCCTGTTCGATTCCCTACATGGGTACATGGTGTTAAGATCATTTCTGCTGTGGGGATGGATGGAATATTGATGGAATACTAAAAGCGGTGTAAAACCATATTCACTCATTGTGTCAAGTGAAGAAACGTTTAACACACAAGCAGATTGAATGTTTCCAGTTTTTCATTTTTACCCACGCATCCACACATGTATGTCCAATATACAACAAGCGTCTATCCTTATGACCATTTTGGTTGTTATTAAGAGTTGGTGAATTGGTTAAAGTCTCAATTGTTGAATTCGTGAGTATATCCGGTGAATTTGCAGGACATGAATGTATACTGGAACACTGTGTTGTTCAAGAAATGCCGTAGTGCTGGGCCATTACGTTGAATAAACTGCCTCTGGTCCGAGAATCTGATCTCTGTAGCCCACACTTGTCCAGTTGCCCTGAACAACATCTCAAGTGGTCCTCTGACGTTCACTTAAGTCCGTCACTATGGGGGCTATGTGGACTTCTCTGTTAAAACAACAGACTCCATCACAACTGAGGTTGGCGAACATGATTTCGGCACCATCTTTGAAGGTTTTCTGGATGATGTTGCGTCAGGAGAGGTCGTATGGCGGGACGACGTGGTCGTATGCCATAATGACGTAAGTGATTCCTAACCGTTCTACGCCGGAGTTAATACCTCGAAATCCTGGAATGTTCCGAGCAGTGATTACTGCTGCCTGTAACCTGTGCTTTAGATGGGCCACCCATATCCATCTGTCCTGCAGCATGTTGGCGATCACCAACTTCATTATTGCTCTGACATTTGTCTCAACAGTGCTGAAATTTTGTTTCGGTGGCAATGAAATTTCGCGGTGAAACTTTCCCCCCCACCCACATGGGTGCCGTTGTACAAAAGAACCTAAGCGCTAATACTACCATAATTCTATGTTAAGTTATGGGAGTTACGGTCACCTTCGCGCTAAGATCGATTTGTACAACAGCACCCTGCCCCTTAGCCTCATGACGTTGTGCAGTCTGATTCGTGGCATGACGTGTGTTGTGACCTTAAAGCTACAATGGTCTTAAGTGTAGAATAGTCATGAATATTCATCAGTGGGCGGAGATTATATGACCACGTCACATTCTAGCTTTAAGGTCAGAACAGACGTGCGGTTGTTTTTTTAACTATCAAACATCAAAAATCGAATGGAGCTTTTTTTGTGCTCTAAGCTGTTAATTTAGATGCACATGCACAAATGTGTTGCATGTGCCCATGTCGAAACCACTGGCGTCACGAAACGTGGCACATGCATATGCGTTTATTCTCTTCACTAATTACTGCGTTTACATCTGTATTTGTTGTGGCAAATATAGAACTTCCTTTTACATTTCACATACGAACACTAAAAAGAGTAACAGGCTTAAAATACACCCTTGGCGTAAACCACTGGGACATTCAAACGTCAGTCAGTGTTACATTTACGTTTCCTCTTCATAAGATCGTAAATACTTCTTAAGTATTTTAGTCATCCAGTATTTTTAACAGCAATCAGAGCTAATCCCGATGTACTAAATCCCCAAAGCTGAAAGCTTCCTTAAAACTTACAAAGGCCACACGTAGTTTGCAATGTATACGTGGACAACCTTAGTCCACGGATTAGTAAAAATGCTTCCATTCTAATATTCAATTAAATGCCTTTGAGAAAGAATATTTTTAGCTTCACATTTGATATTTCTACATTCGGAATTGTAAAATCCTATTAATTGTTTGTACGTACAGCACGCAGGATTTAAATTGGCAGTTACATTATCTAGTACTTCTTTTAAGTCGATATTGACAAAGGTCAAGAGATAACATGAGTTTGTATTGAAAGCTGGTTTAAAGTTACCAACAAATATATCCCTATACTCCTCATTGCACTGGAATTTAACTGATTTGCAATCTGAGGAAATATACTGAACATCATTGAAAACGCACCACTTATAAAAGTTCAGATTATTAAAAGCACGTGTAAGGAATTAATATTTTTGAGTGGATAATAACAGATGGACGACTGACAAAAACAACACAGAAAAGACGCTCATTCATTGAAATGTTCCACAGTCAGAAAGGATCAAACACACGTGGGGTCAAATCGAAAAGTCAATATCGCGTGTGACCGCCATTTGCATTGTCACATGGAGTTCAACGTCTCCTCATTGAGTCAATAAGCGTCCAAATAGAGTTCTTGAGGATGGCATTCCACTTCTGCAGTAGTGCAGCCTCAAGTTCCCGGATGTTTTACATCTGTTGTCGCCGCGAAAGACTGACCAATTTCGTCCCACAAGTGCTCCATGGGGATACATCTGGCGACTGTGCTGGCCAATGAATAACCTGGATGTGTTGCTGGGCCAGATACTGCATGGAAAGTCTTGTTGTGTGTGCCCGTGCGTTGTCCTGTTGAAAAGTATGGACATCTTGGTGGTGATTGAAGACAGATACGATGTGATTCTGAAGAATCTGCTCACGGTAATGAAGGGCATTAACTCTCCCTTGACAGACATGAAGGCAGTCCTGTGATTGTAATTTTTTTCCACCCCAGACCATGACACTTCCACCACCCAAAGGTCTGTCTGAACCACACACTCATCAGCATAACGTTCACCACGTCTACGCCAAACACGTAATCGGCCGTCAGTATTACGTAGATGAAGACGTGACTCGTCAGTGATTACCACACCATGCCATTGTTGTAACCTTTACTGAAAATGCCTGCTAGCCCATTGTATACGCTCATTACGGTGTCTGTCAGTCAGAATTGGTCCAACGTAAGGACGTCGAGCATGGAGCCCTGTAGCGTGTAGACGGCGTCGCATGGAGTCAGCGCTGATGACCCCCACGTCAACCTTGAACTAGTGCAGCAGTCCTGGCAGTCGGCAGTGTTCAATCACTGATATGGACAAGGTCAATATGGCAATCCTGATGGAGCGTTGTAACACGTTGTTGCCAAGGTCATTGAAGGTCACGGGTGCTGCCTGTCTACTGATGTCGTCTATAAAGCTTAACGATGGTGGAGTGGCCAAGTCCAAGTTGTCGAGCAATATCCCTGCTGCTGGTGCCAACCTGAATCATGCCTAGTGCACGTTCTCTTTCGTGAGGTGTTAACCTCGGCATCTCTGTCCTCGTTTCACAATCGTTTGTGAAGCAATGGGAATCGGTTCTCATACACCTGCTTTTAATATCACAGTCAGTATGATTTCGGAATGAAATTCGCGCTTTTTTCATGGCGTGGCTGCATGTTGATGCATTTTGGAATTAAGAGTCATGCTGTGGACAGGAATTTGTTTCTAAAGCATTTTTTCAACTGGACATGCCCTTCGATTTCATATTCATTGATCATTGTCATGCTGAAATCCATCTTGATGAAAATACGGACACTTTTAGACTGGTGCGTTTTCAATGATGTTCAGTATATATTCTTTTCCGTTCTAGTGTCATTAGAGCACAGCAGTAGTGACATATCTTTGAATCTACAATATTGTTAACTCTGAATCTGGTAAAATATTTGAATACAGCTAGAGAGGCTATGATATATAACAGCGCCTTGAGCATGTACTAGTTGCGTGGATATGTGCGCTATATAAATATTCTATAATAAATAATAATATATTTAACAACTCTACAACCTTGCGCTGATAGGTAGCTAAATTCACCATTTCCATGTCCCCTGAGTCTTCCGTTTCGAGCATAGAGATTGAAGATAAAACAAAAAATTACCAACATTTTACCTAATCTGTTTTGCAAAGGTATCTTATAATTGTTGTTAATGCAAATGCGTGCATTGACATCACCACATGTCATAAAAATAATTATCACACTTTCAACGTTCACTGGAACGTTCTACCAGCCCCTGAACCTTTGGTTGAACACCATTTTAACCGGATACATGTACATGGTGATATGAGCGTTACAAATTATAGAATACCGTTATCAAAGATAAATAGCAATATTGATATTTTAATGCCCACGATATAACCAGTGGATAAAGTGTTTTGTGCCCCAAAACAAAATATTTGGTTATGTAGAGATATGTTTGAACCTCACGGCAATGTTAAAGAGTTGGCAGTTGTATGAACAATTCCAATAAATGTATCCTTATAACAAAGTAGAAGGCTGTGGGTGAGGTGAGGTGAGGTGAAATTGGGTTTAACGTCGTGCTGGAGAATATTTCGCTCATATGACGACGTGCATGCATGTGTATGTGTATGTGCGGCGGCTTGTACTAGCCCAGACTTAAGCTGGTTTTATAGTGCTAGCCCACTGAGATGCCATGCCGCAGTGAAGCATAAATACCCCACTCAGACACATTATACTGACTCCGAGCCGACCAGTCCTTGTTGTACCCATTAATGCCGAGCGCCAGGCAGGGACCAACAAGTACCACATTTTAACGTCTTTTGGTATGAAGCGGTCGGGGATCGAACCCGCGACCTTCCGCTCTCCGGGCGGACGCTGTAACCACTACACCACGGAGGCGGTCTTGAAGGGCGTGGGTAGAAGATTCGAGAAATGGTTTTAGTGGTATTAAATGTTAAATGATCTTCAATGCATTCACGGTCTTCTACCCTGTTGTTTACACCTCTTAGATGAGGAATACAGTCTTCCCCCGTCCCCCTGATTGCGAATATAATTACAAATGGCGAATTCAGCCTTCTTTTGATGCTCTCACTGCTAATT